TTTCTTCTAATCTATCGTCAGTAAGTATTAAAATATCGAATAAACGTAATTATATCCACGAATAAATTAATATGAAATCGGATGTAATAAATATTTCGGACATTCACCAAAGCGACTATGTGATTGTCAACATTCACCGGTGAAAATCAACAATCACCGATTTCGCTCATTCACAGTAACATGCACATAATTTACATAATAACCTCATCAGGACGTTTATTTCATACTTTGCCTAAATAGCATCCGGCATTGTATAGAATGCCTGGGCATTGTATAGAATGCCTAGGCAAAGTATGTAATACTTCTCACATTTCATACTTTGCCTAAAAACGTCAGGCATTCTATACAATGCCTAGTCATTCCATACAATGACGGCGTTTCATACTTTGACGGTAACATATATATTGAGTTACGGAATTGACACAGAATTGAGTTACGGTTATAAACGGTTATAAAATAAAACAATAAAAATCGGAGAGGATATTTTTTTATATTGGAGTCTATGTTTTTCTTAGTTTGGGTTAATTTACGTTACTTTTTAGATAATTTTATTGAATGAAATGTCAAGTAGATAAAAATGAGCCTTTTTGTTTTTAATCAAGTTTCTAAGACGGTTGCTCGTGACATTTGAGTTGTGTATTGAGAAGGTGCCATAGCTGAAAAAACCACTCGTGATTGGTATGCTCAGCTTAAATATAGAAATGTTGACCTCAAGAAACGCACCTCGTTCTGACCCACCAGTTCAGCTTGACGAAGAGCTATTAAACCAACTTACTACAAATGAAAATTTGCAACAAATCATAAGGGGACTTATGATTGGATGCCACCCCCCCCCAAAGAAAAATTTTTTTTTAAAAAAAAAAGACAGAGGGAATATTGTTGTCAGCTCAATAACTGTTATCATAAATTTAACTCACTCTTTGAAAGTAGAGAATTGTAATATTTTAAAAATAAAAATTTTTTCTCACCTATATCATGATTATTAATTTATGAGATGATTATTGAATTATGAATGTGTAGTTGTATGCCTTTTACCCACTCATCATGAACTTGATCGTTGAGGTGATTCGATGAAATGGCAGGAATGCAAATGTGGTAAAAGGAGTATTCTATAAGATCATTAAATTATGAATGTGTAGTTATATGCATTAAAGCGATAAAAACCACAATGTACTAAATAATATAAATTATGGTTCTACTTAAGTAAGAGGTTCAACTTGAGCAAAGATACAGCTTGTATGAGGAAGATGAGGTTTATTTGTATGCTATTGATGAGGGGAATATGATTGATCACTGCAATGGTATGTTGCTATTGGTCTGATGTTCTTGTCTTCAGTTAAACTTTCTAGGAGGGAGATTTCATTGAAATTTGCTGCAAGAGCATGAGGTGTCTTTTTCATAAAATTTTATGCTTAACTAGGCTATGTGTTTTTCTATAGCATTCTATTTTGAGGTCATGGTGTATTGTATCATTTCTTATGAGCCAACTGGCTTTTGTAATTCTTCTTAGTATTTTGTTTTGACAGATTATTAATTTGTTCAGATGAGTTTGAGTTAGTTTCGTTCTGACTGGTGAGGTGAGGATAAGACTCATCATAAATAAAGTTCAAACGAGAGTTCAATCGAGTGCAGATCTTTTGAGATTCAAACGAGATCACAAGAAAGGTGCTTGCAAGCGCTTAAAATGTTGTACTGAAAAAATAATTTAAAATCAAATTTACTGAACTAAACAAAACTTAAACTTCGTCTACCACTCGAAGCTTTTTTTTACAAAGCGGAGGAAGTTGGTATTTCTTAATAGTATTGTCTTATGCTTGGCATGGAATTGCTCATAATTGAACATGGTTATAACAGATTTATTTAAAAAAAACAAACAAAAAAAACGAAAATTTTGTTAGGAAAAGCTCTCTTGATCCCTTAATTGAAGCTGAAATATTTGCCAAGCGATAATAATGAACTATCAATATTCCTTGCTGTTGTTGAAATTTCCATTACTAGCCAGTATACATTCAACTTTTAGAGCATAGTGTATTTTCATAGGAAAAAAAATTCTTTCAAAAATATGATTTTGATATCAAAATATTTTTTTAACGACAGGTGCTGAATTCTCGCGCTTTGCTGCAGAAGATGACTGAAGTGCTGTTCATTTAACGCTATGCGAGGTGCACCTGTGAACCTAAGTCACACAGACGAGCAGCATTACACACGCCACAGATACCCGTTTATAGGGTGGGCCACATTCACACACCACACAGAGAGAAACATAGATGCTCTTAATGGGATTCGAACCCGCTACCATTTTCTTCACAGACAGGCACGCTTGCTGATATTAAAAGATAAATTGAAATATTACAATAACTTACAGTATACGCTGTAGTCTGCTATTTCGTGTCCATCTTCATCCGTCCAGTCCGAAAACTTGACATGGAAGAGATCAATCAGCGCAAAGCCGGACTTTTCACTTATTTTGCATTTTCCTTTGCTGGGTGGATGGTTTATGACGAGCAATATGGAAGAAATTCCTTCTGAAACTGTTTCGTTCATGAGTGTACCCTTTGCCCGAACCAAGAATGCTGGAACATCGGAATGCTCCAAAAACAAAGTTTGATTCACTCCAACTCTGTCATAGTCCACTACAATTAAATGAAGAGAGATGTTTATTTAACATGATTGCTTTCAGCACTACCGAATTTATTGAGAGATTTTGTTCTTCTAAACTTTAATTTATTATACCCGAGACAATTTAGTGTTGCATGCAAATTTTAATGAAAAAAAAGTATTCAGATCTATACACTTAAACTAAGTGGATATTTTCTAATCTTAACTATCGTATTAATAGCTTATAAGCAGGGCTAGGATGCTGATGAGTAGAAAATTCTTAAGAAAAGCTCTTAAATATGCAAAAAAACAAATCTCTATAAAGCATCAAAAGGACCTTAAAATGAAAAGTAATTCCCTTATAATTTTTAAAAAAAACATGTTTTTATACTAACTTTTTTGCTTTTTTCAAAAAAGAAATTGCGTATCGTAGCTTGCAATTAACTTTACAGAAAAAAAAATATGTGACATATAAACAGGGAGTGATTTCTTCGACTAGTAAGGGGCAAATTGCTCGTTAAAAATTATCAAATGCTAGTTACGGGTAACAGCAGTAACCTGTTATGATCTGGATTTTTTTTTGTCTTTTGAATTAGAATTATCACTTTATGATAAGCCCAATTAACGGTGATTAACAACGTAAATCAACCGCATTTTTTGACTATTCTTTTGATAGTTATTTTTGTTACTTTTACACATGGTTTTCGAAATTCTAGTCTTTTTATCCGATCTTATTTCGACATGTGCTTTTGAAATTTAAGTAATCAGTTTTTGACGCACTCTGTTCGCAACGATTCCAGCGTAAATCCATGTCATTTTCTGATCGTTGTTCTTTTTTTATCTTTACTAATCGCTTTTTCGGCCGATTTCATGGGATTTTTTTCAAATTCCGAATATTCAGTACTATGTTACAACACCAGAATTTCGATTTTGAGTAATAATTTTTTGACGTGTTCAATTGGTACTAAGCTTTTGAAAAGCAACGTAATTTTCCAATTCAGTAATCGATCTATTGCAATATGTCGCACAGTGATGTGTATGTCGCTTTTTCTGTATCACAAAATATTTTACGATATCGCTGTAAAAAATGCTAGTATGTGCTCTGGTTTTGCTTTTATCATTTTACTGCACAAGCAACCCTTGCCACTGATTTTTTTTTTAAAAATGAAATCTTGCTCTGCTTATAAATGAAAGAAAATATAAGCAAATACCTGCTAAAAATAAAACATAAGTTATTATCAATTTTTAGTTACAATCTTGATCTATTAGAAAAATAACAGAATTGTATTGTACTATAAAATTTGTTATCGTTACTTTTGTTACTTTCTAAAACCACGGAAATTCCGTAGTAGTTGGAGCGCATGCCTGTTTTCGTGATTAAAAGAAGGTACCTTATATATCCTCAAACTACAACAGAATTTACGAAATTACAAAAAAAAATTCCTTGTGATAAAAAACACTTCCTGAAACTACGTTAAACCGAGTATAGAAATAGTATTTTTATTGTGAAATTAATATTTTTATGCTCTCGCACTTTGTTATAGATCAAAGTGAATATATATTAGCAAAACACAAAATTAAAGATGCGGCATTATTTGACGATTTATGTAAATCAATAATCACTGGTTCGCATATTCCATTGCAGCAAAACGAGTTAAAAATGCATACAATTTTTTTAAAACAGTGTAGAAGATTTTTTTAAAGCTTTTCATTTAGTTTACCTCTCATGTGTTGTTCCACGTTTTCCAGTGGGGATTTTTCGGTAGCTTTCAAGTCAGTAGCATATATGTTCCATTCATAGTTTATTTTCGTGTCTCCACAATCTTCGATGCACTCTACTCTTAATGGTATATAAGAACTGGGATTGATGTAAACTCCGTGAACATCTGGAATGCATGCTACTCTTTTTTCGCACCTGCATTTAATAGAAAACAGATTTCACATTAGTCATAATTTAATAGTTTTTAAAGTCAACTATCAAATGACGTTTTTGATTACAAAACCATCTAAACTCGAAACATTCTGAGAACAGTAAAATTTAAATTAGCAAATGGAATTGTCGGTATAGCGGACTTGTCATTAGAAGCAAAAATACACATATTTAATGTAAATATAGCAGTATAAAAATACTAAAAAATGAAACAAGTTCATACCTTTTGTTGTTACTGACGGTACTAAATATTAAATGGTGAGTGGTCAGTGGTCAAGAAGGGTAGATATGTGGTCACAAAAAAGACGTGTTCTTAAGAAGTGTGTGGTAAGTTCATAAAAAATTGGATAAGTTTTCGTTTTGGAAAGAGGAAGATAACTTGGCCGATGATCGGATACGTGTTTATTTTATAAACGTAAATGATTAATGTTGTTGGGAGAAAGTAAGGTGAAATGATGTCCATTTCTTAACTTGCCGTCTTGGGTGGGTTTGCGTTTGTCCACGACCTATTGAGCTTTGTTGGTAGCAGCTTAGCTACTGGTAGAGCTGCTCAAGCCAGAGAGGTCATTGGTGAGGCACCAGACAATGAGTAGCCCCCGGTTTTCTCCCGCCTGGGAGTTGGACATGAGGCGAAGTACCTAACTCAGGAAAATATTTTTAGTTCAAAAATTTCAAGAAGCTAAATCCAGACAGAATATTTGTAGACGACTTGGAAAAGTTTAAGGGCTTGAGAATTGGAATATGGGATTTTCGCTCCTTAGATAGAGATGGAACTCTGAAGAACTTGGTAGGTGTATTCCTGTTAGTGGTGAAAGAGGGCAGGGACATTGTATCTTGCAAAGGAAAATTTATAGTTTTTATCACAGCTTCCATGACTTTAAACAGTTGTTTGGTTCAGGTTTCGTTGCGTCGGCGAGAGAGACAGAGGATTTTATACCCATGAATGAGCGAATATGTAAATTAAGATTGAGTGAAAAATCGCAGAATATTTGTATAATCTGTGCTCATGCACCTACGGAGAAGTCCGAAGCTGGGAAAGATGTTTTTTAATGATACCCTAGAAAATGTAGTCTGCAGATATTCATCAACTGACATTAAACTAGTAACTGAAGATTTTGATGCCAAAGTTGGTAGGGACCATAATATAACGAAATTTGTTGGAAACTATGGTCAATAATGGTGCAAGACTAGAAGACTTTGCTTCTGCTGTTGATTTTATTATTAGTGGAACTGTATTTTTACATAACTGCACAAGTTCACGTGGAGGCCACCTCTGGGCTTGTCATGCAATCAAATAGAAGAATTGAAAGAAGACAATTGAAAGAAGGCACAGTAGTATTTTTTGTTTTCTGAAAACGAAATAGAAGAGGGTAAAACGTTTTATTAAGCTAAAATGAGAAGAAAAACTTACATCACTTGCAAACTTGGTGGTTTTCCTTTCACAACTTCAACAAAAAGATGTCCTTCGGTGATTTTGTGATTTTTCTTTATAACTGCAATCAGTTCATAAACTGCATCATGTGACCAGAAAGAAGCTGTGTCGAGTTCAAAATCTGAAGATGCAACTTTCATTAACCCTGTAATGAAAATGCATTATTAGTAATGATCCATTTCAATAACAAACAGTGGATACTATTTAACAAAATAGAACTGTATAACAGGCAACAGATAAAATTGTTTGATAAACAATGGATACTATTGAGCACAATAAAACAAAAAGTTGTGCTATTAAACACAATAAAACAGATATATTAATCCCTTGACGCAAATTAAACACTGGTGTCTTTTTCATGTATTTCTTTCTGTTGCTCTAATTGCAAGTGAAAATATATTTTGGTGCTTTAAAGTTATAAAAAAAAACAGTCTAATAGTTGCTAAAGAAATTTGTTAGATTATTGGAAATATATTTGTACAAAAATATGAAATTTTTAAAAAAAAGTAGTTTGAAAATATTTTTTAGTCATATTTTAAAATTTACGAATAATTGATTTTGTAAATTAAAGAAATTTCAAGGATGAAAAACTGTTTCTTTTTGACGTAAATAACTGCAAACGGGTGCTAATTTGAAAAAATTATTATTTTAAATTGAGCCGCGTTTGGAAGATTTTACTTTTAATGCGAAATAAGACACATACTGACTGTAATTCCTAACTATAAATTATTATATAATATTTTTCACTTATTTTGATCTAAATTAATATAAAATAATGAAAAATATTTTTAATAATAATCCTGCGACAAATTGTTAAACATTAATCCATTGTTAATAAATATAATAAAACTGTATAACAAAACTGCATGATACATAGCGGAAGCTATTAATCGCAATAAAACTGTATGATAAAAAGTGAATGCTATTAAACATACTGTATATCCTGACCGTATAAGTGAAATTTTCAAATTCCCAAAATCATACGAAAATTAGGAGGTCACAGGTAATAAAGTCGATGCATTATATTAATGTCAATGCATTAAAAACAATGAGATGGATTTTAATCTATCGATTAATCGATAGATTCATATCACTATCAATTTATTCCCTTACAAAAACAATTGTAAATACGTTGTATACAATTTATTTTGGCTGATCGTAAAGACACGGTCCGCAGTAAACACCAAAGTCACGCAGCACTGGCTGCGGTCAGTAAGCGGATGGGGGGTGGGTTACCACTTTGATCAGCCTGTGTTGGGACCGAGGGTGTGCAGTATTGGTTCTCGTTAAACTGTTCTACCATAAAGTGCTCGACTTCACGTTGAGGTCGTCGAGCTACTAAAGAGGGGGAGCCATCCCTTCTGCAGAAGATCAATCTGGCATATCTTCGGATCATCCTCAGGGTTACTTCCCCAAACCGTCGCCAATAGTCTCTCTGTGCAGCTCTAGTGCGACGTAAATGAAGAAACTACCTACTTAAAATTAAATTTGCACTTTCACTCATCATATTTTCATTACATATACTTTACAATACTTTAAATTACGTTGAAAAAAGTTAGGAATGAGAAAAATGAAAATAATTTATTCAGAATAATTTATTAAAAATGCAACACAATATTTTTAACTTGAGAAAATTTTGTGAAGTTAATAAATGTTTCGTGTATTTTTTTCTTTCTTTTTAATTTTAAGAACTTCCCCTTTTTTAGCGATAGACTTATACACCCGACATGCGCGGAATTTGCCATCTTGTAAGGTTAATTAGGTCCCCGACCCCTCCAAATATGGGTATGCGGGAAAAATTTTCAACTTGTCGCCGTGACAGTCTCCCGCACAGCCGGAGGTGGACAGAGAGTATTTGGCACATGCACTGGCCGAGAGGCCCGGCGAAGCTCCTCCGTGGCATTTATTTAAAAACAAGAAAAAACATAGTACTATTTTGGCAACAGCCCGGAGGTAATCGGGCAAAAATACAAAAGTAACAAATTCACCTCAAGAATTAAACGTTTTGCATGTATAATAGTTGTGATTATTCCAACTATTAACTAACAGGTGAAGTTAAACATCTAGATTGATGTTTACAATAAAATATATGAAAAATTCAAGAAAAAAAATTAAATTAAAGTTTATAAATTGGCTAACTGACCCTCATAAATATTTGAAATTTTATAAAATTAACAATATCTACCATGTGAGACCCAGAATTTACCATGTGAGAGCTGTCAAAATATAATGGAATTTGTACAAGCTTCATGAAAAATATTTTTGGTCAAACCTCATGACCGAAAACTGGTGGTTCAAAAATTTAAAGTTTAAAATACAGGAAAAGCAATAAAAAGATAATATGAGACGATTGATAAAAAGAAAAAAAACATGAAGTTAAAGGCTAAAATTATACAATTGACCAAAAGGGTCTAAAACTTCAACATTAAAATTTGTAAAACATCAAGTTTACTCTCAAAGATATAATAAGACCTAAAAACTTTTAAAAGATCAAAAAATTTTTGTCAAAAATTTCCCGCAGACAACGAATTTCTCGAATCAGATGTCCGTGCGGACGGCCATTTTCCCGTTAATGTTCGCAATTTTTGTTATCTTACAATAGTCTAGCGCCTCACTTCAAAAATGACCCTCTATTCTAGAAATCCCGTACAGCAACATACTGCGCATGGTGGATTGATGTTTTTTTCCGTCTGGGAGTACTGCAGGGGTTGAAAGGGACTTTTCAGCAATGAACTTACAAAAAAACACATTACGTAAGCGTTAAACGCAAATATGAACATCCACCTAAATGGAAAATCCCTTTCAGATTTCTGTGCAGAAACCTCTGTAAATCATAAGCTTGATTGTGGAACTGGCATTTGATTCATTTAAAAAACGCAGTACCCTCGGATAAATTGACATTCCAGATAACTTGACCTTTGTCATTTAAATTATTTCATAAAAGAAATAAATTATTTCATAAAAGAAATACTAGGTTTTACTATTAGTAATCTAGTATTNGGAAAAATAATAAAAAGATATTATGAAATGATTGATAAAAGGAAAAAAAACAAGAAGTTAAAGGCTAAAATTATGCAATTGACCAAAAGGGTCTAAAAAATTCAACATATAAATTTGTAAAAGATCAAGCGTACTCTCAAAGTCGATATAATGAGACATAAAAATTTTTAAAAGATTAAAAATGAATATATCACTCAAAGTAAAAACATCGAAATCACTAAAATGATTAAGAGAAGTACAGTTAAAATAACACAAAAGACTTGCCATCTTGTAAAGGGATTCGACCTATACAAAAGTTAGAATTATACCCCGGGATATAAAACTGTGAGTTGAACGTTAAGTGGTTGCCATTCAACACGGTAAAATTGTACAACATTAAACATAATAAAACTGTGTAGCTATTTAACACACTTGTATACCATAAAGTGGGTACTATTAAACATAACAAAAACGCACATTAACGTGCTGGTGGGAGGAAGGTTAGCTAAAGTAATTACCTGGGCCTTTACCAAAACAGCCTCCTTTATTATCTTTTTCCTTAACAGTAGATCTGTCTGTTATAGGACTTGAAGGATTGCTTGTATCATACTCATGAGCTCCCAACTCTGTAAGGCTCTCTTTTTGATCATAACGTAAACAAAACCACGTGACATTAAAGTTCTACCAAAATATATATATATATTAGTTAGTATTAAGTTGTACAATAAAGACGTATTATTTGCTATTTCTATTGTGTTGGCAACAAAATTCCCGCCGCTTTAATGTCAAGAACAGCTTTCCTTACCCCAGAACCATCATTGAAAGCTAAAAGAAGCTAAATTTTCTCCTTTTTATCAATATTATATTATATTTTCATTAAAAATATCTTTCATTTTTATTCATCTGAAAATTAACATAAGCATGAGCAAAATAGGGGGGGGGGAAACACAGATTCTCGAAAAATGAAACATCCTCTTATGCATGATCTAATAGGTTTTGTACGAAACCTTACTGACACGCGAAATGTTAAAATATATAAGAAAAACTATGGAAACATAATTGCCAACCAGGTTTAACCTCAGAACAAAAAATTTCCTAACGAAGATTTGCTTATAAGCGAATAATGTAAATATTGCAGTTTTCAGAAAAACGGTGTTGCTATGTTAGTAAAAGAAATATTCGAAATCAAAAGAAAAAAAATTAACATTTAAAACGATTTTCAGTGCAGGTATTAAGTGAAATTTGTAAAGAAAATTGTTTTAGCTTGATAATAAACCAAGCCTAGTAGCTGTAACGTTAACACGCAATGTACAACCACGTGATTACTCACAATCATCTGGTTTTAACGATATTCTTCACGAGCTGCAAATATCCAATCGCAAGATTGCGGACAAGAAGAAAAATTAAAGATGAATCACTTTTCCTCCCTTTATACAAAAGAGTAAAATCTGAATTTCCAAAATTAAAAAGATAATATTTTCTTGAGATATTAACGCAACTTTTTTATAATGATAATCATATTTAAAACGGTATCTAAACTTACAAGCCGTTTTACAATTATTATATAGTAAATAAGTTAGATTTACTCTCTTTCTCTCTATATTACTTTATATATATATTTACCTTAAAGTTTCGGTAAAATAGTGCCTAATCGACAGCTGTAATGAAAGCAAAACCATTAAACAGCGCGAATTTACTTTTTGCATTATTACTAAATAATCTTTTGGGCAAAACACTTTTAAGGAGATTATGTGGTAACTAGAAATTAAACTTAAATTAAAAAAATATAGTAGATAAAGCTGTCATAGTAACTGAGCAAAATGATTGTGTTTGAATTTTTTTCTCCAAATAGAATCAACATTAATACAATAAAACATCTTAGCTTCTTTCAATTGAACACTTTATAATTTGAGTGTAACAACCTCTTTATTGTCAAGAAATTAAAAAAAAAATATCTAAGCAATTGTGGAGATTAGGGAGCGAAGCGTGTAGGGTCGAGCCGCCGAGTGTAGGTGCAAAAATATGTCAGTAAGATACAGTAGCATGTAAAACTGTCTTACTAGAGTTGCGCAGCTCTTTTATAACCGTCGTTGAACAGTTGATCCATTTTTGGGTTTATGACTACTAATGTTCAACTCCGCAGCCTTGTAATTTCGAACCCAATCCAGAAGACAAGGGACTCTAACCCATGATCCGTCTACCATTGAGTACATTTTGCGCCAGCACTGTGGTCAGTGCGTGCTGGTTGAGGAATTCGTATGGACCAGCCATTGCTGGGATTCGTGCCTGGTTCACCTCATTGGAAAGCGAACGCTCTATCCCCTGAGCCACCACGGCTCGCAGTGGGCTATTGGAGACGGTCTGAAAAACCTCTCGGAGGATGATTTGAAGACTTGACATCACAATTTTAATCCTCTACAGACGGTGCCGCGTTTTCGTAGCTTAACGACCTGCTCGTGTAGTCAAGTATTTTATAGCAGCACAGTTTAACGATGACAATACCGCACACCTTTTGTCACTTCACAGGCTGATCAAAGTAGTTACTCACCCGCTCACTGATAGCTGCCAGTGATGCTTAACTTCATTTATCTACTGGAAACCGTGTCTTACTATCAGTCTACTGGGACAAGTAGAAACTTGGCGTATTAAAACTATAATTGAAGAATTGAGAGGTTGAAGATTCTAATTGACATTTTATTAAATTCGCTAATTTGACAAGTTAAAATGAAAATACAACATTACTTTTTAACTTGGGAACATCACATTCAGTTTTAATCTTTTACTTTGGAGTAGTAAATTCAAATCGAAAACGTTAAAAGAACAGTAAAACTTTTTAGTAACGTTTTTGAAACATGCCATCGAAGCAGAAATAATTGACCACAGATAGGGAGTCTTCTAAAAGCAGCTAAACATATTTAAATTAGGGATACAGAAATACTTTATAGAGAAATAATATTTTTATAGCTTTTACATAATTTATGTTGAGCTGTGGCGGCTCAAGGGATAGAGCTTTCACCACCCAATGAGGTGACTGAGTTTGAATTCCAGAGATGTCTTTTTGATACGAATTCCGCTCCCAGCTAGCACTGACCATAGATCTCGATGTAAAATATCCTCAGTGGTAGACGGATTATCAGTATTCCCTGTATTCCCTTGCCGTTAGGCTAACCGTGGGTGGTTTTCTCCTCCATGCAAAGTAAATGCGGGTTAGTCCCATCAAAAAGTTCACCGCGAAGACGAATTTTTCCCAATATTTAATCTAGATGTCCCCTTGTCTTCTGGATTCAGTTCAATATTTCAAGGCTATGGATCTGAACATTGGTAGTCGTAAACTCAAAATTAGGTCAGCTATTCAAAGATGATTATAATACAACTGGTGACAACTAAAGAAATGTGAATTTCCACGGGAAAAAACTGGATCATATCACGCGACGATAAATGGAAACGGTTTATACCATTTCGTTTTTATGTTATTTAGAGATGCAATTTTACTGTTAATATGAATCAGCTTAAAGGCATTTACGAACCCTTTCATCGGGATTATCAGGATCTTCAGTGTAAATGGTCGGCTCCAGATGAACAGTTTGACCGTATCCTCGACGAATATGAGTGGCACCACCACGCACCAGCATGGGAAGCAGGGGCGTTTCAATAATTCTCAAGTAGGAGTAGACACTCCGCCTCGTGAGAATCGACCTGTTCTGCACATATGTTCGGTAATCTTCATATGCATCAATTTCTTTGACGGTGTGCAGATCCTCTTCGTGAGTCACATTTTCATCTTCGGCTTGACATAAAATTAGAAAAAAAAATGATAAAAAATATGATAAATTATGATGAAATTAAGCTAAGAACTCCTCCCGCCACAAATTGTGTAGCCGTCTGGTGCTATGGAAACAAGAATGGCGCATTTTAGGGAGGGTAGCTTCACTCTAGGACTAACACAATAGACCGAAGAGATTCCCTTACTCTCACCGACTCGAGTCGAAACCACTCCAAAACAATGACCCCGCATAGTTATACCTCGTTACCATGGTCACCGCCACAGGTCCAGATGAATGTTTGGAGGAGTTCTCATTATAGACAAACCGTGCCGTACCAAAAAATCATAGTTAACACATTAGTGAATGCTGATTTAATAGAGTGAAAAACATATCGGGCGACCACAGTAAAATGGTCGTTAATGGAGATTGGTAGTTCTTAGAGGTTTACTCCTATTGACGTCGTACTTAGAGGTTTACTCCCGATAGAAAGTGCATGATTTGCATAAAAGTGCATGAATAAAAAGTGCATGATTTTTCGCAAGCAATTTTAATTTTACTCAGGGATATTTTCTTGGTGCAGTAATGCCAATAAAAATGTCGCCTACTGAAATAATTATGTGTAAAAACAAATTTGCAAATTATGAATTAAATAAATAAGCAATTATGTTTTTTGTTTAAGCTTGCATTTAATTCCATATCATGAAAATTAGTTTACTTTTAAAAAAATATGAGGTTTGCTTGTTTGAGATGCTTAGTTTTTTTTCTAAAATAACTGTTTTTTACTAATTTAACTTTCAACTCTAAAACTAAATCATTGATATCCTCGTCTTTAGCGCTCTCTGACTGTAACATGAGGTTTGTCAATCTTTTTCAGAGATCGTCAAAAAGAACTCTTTTAATAAGAGCCACTCACAAATATTTTCAATACATTTGAATCAACTTATTTGTTTTGTTAATATATTTAATTTTTCTTTTCTTATTTGCCCCTTTCTGCATTTGGTACGGAGGTTTTCCCGGTCGCTGGGAGAGGTTTTGATGGTCTATCCTAAAGGTTGTCTTCAATACAAAGTCTATGAAAAAACGTATACCGCAAAATATAGAAGTTACTTACATACTTTTGCGTATACCTCAAATATAGAACTTTTTGCGTATACTTAATATATACTTTCTGCGTATACTTCAAACAATAGAAGTTACTTGCACACTGGAAGATATGGTCACAATAGTTTGGTCAGGAGAGCTGTCAGTTAATTTTACTTTTGTGTGTACTTCTTATGATCATAGTAATTTAGTATAACTGTTTTGGTGGAAAATATATAGTATATATGCAAGTAAAACGTACCATATATGGTCAAAGTATATTTTAGTTTGTAGAGGCCTAATTCTAAAGATCTCTTAAGGATTCTGATGGCCGAACAGTTGTGGGTTTTTAAGTAAGATATGTCTATTTCGTCTTCATTTCCAGTTCCATCTAATTTGAAAATTGACCACTCATGATAGGCTAGGTAGGATTGGTTGTTTCGAAATATAGCAGTAGTCTCGTACCTGCAGTCTATGCCACGCTTGCACTAATGAGAAAAAAAATTATGAGAGGAAATATAATGACAATAGCAAAACTGGGTGTTCCAAAGTTCGACCAACGAATTCGGAAAGGAGATGAACGATATCAAGAGTTTGAAAATTTACTATAAATTAGACTACGTTAAAAGAGTAAAAATTGCCAAGAAAAACACGTAGGTTTCAACATTGCTGTGAAAAACAACTGAAAAAAAATACTACAAAGTTGCTACGTACAAGAAAAGATTTCTATGAAAAATTATAACAAAAGCTGTTCATAGTGGAGTTCAATGACGTAAAAGCGATTCCCAGATGCTCTTATAGATAAAATTTGCGTCTGGCGCAACAAAAATCACGCTATGAGATTAACCGGTTTGTACACAAGCGAGAGTCGCATTAACTTGTGTTCTAAAACATCCTCGTATGAAAAAGTATTACAGATTGAGATTCGGTTAATGTGAAGGCCATGAAACGAGATCCAATCCCCTTGATTATGTTACATCGGAGTGATTTTACTTTGGAAAAGCACTATGTGCAGGGGATTCTCGACGCGCTGCAGTTCACTCTCTTGGCAGCAATTCATGGAGCAGCTGCTGCAGAAGCTGAGTGCGTATTTTGAGATTTTCATCCTCGCAACGGGAATCGCGATTCTATATCATATGGTAAGTTTTCATCCACTTGAAGTTGTTTATCAGCCTCTCTAAATTTATTAGTCGAAATTTGGAACACCTTGTATATGGCAATATGTTCGGCAAAATTCTGATGATTTTTGCCGAAACTGAAGTAACAAAACGGTTATTCAAATAGTTAAGTTACTAATTAAGTTTTAAATATTAAGCCATTAATTATTAACTAAATTATAATTATTGATAATTAAATAATTATTAAAACACTAATATAGTAAAACAGGACTGATATCAACTTCATTACCTGATGAAATTTCGAAGCGTTAATTGTCTTCAGATCTTAAACAACCACCAAGCCCTTTGTCGTAGGGCTAGTGCGAACAAAAACTCTTAATATTAAAAAAACTAATTATCCAAATTAGCTTACTTATCATTCAAAATGAAGATACGTTGTAATAAGTGTACTTTTGACTCTTTTTTCTTTTCTTTTTGTATTATTGAATTTTTATCGTTTGTTTCAATATTTGATTTTTAGATTGTTTCTTATTTAGTTTATCCATTATTTGCCCTCAGGGCACGGTCAGTTTTTGGTCTTACCACTGACAATAGAAAGGCTCCAGTATGTTAACGCACAGAGTGTCACCAGATGAAGTATTGTTTTTTCTGACATACATATCTTTAAAATTTCGTTTTGCTTGTTTTTGGTTTCCAACTTTTTATTTAAATTGTCTAATACAAGATGTAATACAAGAGAACTGAATTGAGATCACACCCGTGTTATCTTGGGCCGCTGGTGTCAGAAAGGTTCGTTTTATGTATGCTATCGTTTCATATCTATTTGATACGACAGACCGCAAAGGTAAAATCGCATGATGGCTTTTACGTGATCTCGATTCCGACCGGGTTAAAACATTCCCAAAACTGTGTAGAATTTGGGGATAGTTTGATACATAATTATCAGATCATTAATTATAAGATTTTCGACTGATGCCCGTAAAACTTTTTTCGAATCGAAATGATTGATTTTTAATCTGGACTTGCGTTAATCGTCACAGAATAATACAATTAAACAACAAAGCATGTTCGAAGCAGAAAAGATGAGAGAGCAATTACTTCAATGGGTCGATCACTGTCTGTCGAATTTTCATCAATCCAAAGAACGGGTGTATCATAATCTCCGTAGGATATAAATATCGTCAAGTTCTTTTTCAGTCGACTGACAGAATTAAATACGTCGACAGAGGGTTGAAATTTTCCACCATACATGTAGTTATTCAATATGCTGAAATAAAATGAGATATAATAAATATCGCACACATTGCTAATCTGAGTAAAATAAAATACATGAAATCATTAGCAGTAAAAAAATAATTAAATTTTATAAAACCAATTATGATATAAGTAATATTAAACACATTGCAAATCTTAAAATCTAAATAGGATAAAAAAATAACACACAAATGTAAAAGATAATAAGATTTGGCAAAACTAATTAAGGAATAATAAATATTATATACGTCTAGATTTGCCAAGGAAGTAATTTTGACTGCTTTTTAATTCCAATTAGAAAAACAATGATGTATATAATGACACAATTTCTTAGAATTTTGAGATTTTTTGTACAACATATAATTTTTTTTATTTTTAATGTTTACTAATAGCTTGTTACATGACTGTAAATAATATAAAAAATATTAAAAATTAATTCAAATAAATTTCTTTACACATTAGTTATTCTTTCACAATCTAATCATTTTGACTGCTTTTAGGCAATATAGGTATATACTAAGTTTCAGTCTTTCTAGTGTTAATAAAGAATAATGAGATCTGATGAAACTATCTTAGATAAAAACAAATATTACACATACTGCTATAATAATCAGTATTAACAAAAGAATAATTAGAATTGGAAAAACTAATTAAGTAAAAACAAATTTACAATAGTGATCAATAACGAAAAACTAATAGGATTAAAAAAACAATAAGGATAAACCAAATATTACACACCTTGATGGAAAAGAAACAGAATTTCATTATTAATTCAAATTTGTAATTTAGAAGGTACTTCTAAATAGGTTCAATGGAAAGTGTATCAACTATGAAAAAGGCACCAGTTTTAACTTAGAGATCCTGATATCTAACTCTTAGTTAAAGAGTTACAACAATAGCTTCAAAATTGTCCGAAACAGTTAGGTTACCACACTTCGCGACGCTTCTCCGCAATCTCTTCTTCTTCCTCCATGATGGGAGCTTTTAGCTTTCACAGTGATTTTTATTGATCTTTTAATTAACTTTTTTAGTATCAAGTGATGTTGTTGTTGTAGTTCATTTACGTCGCACTAGAGCTGCACAATGGGCTATTGGCGACGGTCTGGGAAACCTCCTTGAGGATGATCCGAAGACATGCCACCACAATTTTGATCCTCTGCAGAGGGGATGGCACCCCCTCTTCGGTAGCCCAACTACCTGCACGCGAAGTCGAGCACTTTACGGTAGAACAGTTTAACGAGGACCAATACCGCACACCCTCGGTCCCTACGCAGACGGATCCAAGTGGTCACCCACCCGCACACTGACCGCAGCCAGTGATACTTGACTTCGGTGATCTGCTGGGAACCGTGTCTAAACGATCAGTCCACTGCGGGACATGTTAAAGTCAAAGATGTGTTGAAAATGAAACTAAAATGAATAGCATTTTAATTAAGAGAAGGAATTATTAATAACTTTACAAAAAACTAATTGGTAAAAGTTTTTTTTCCTCCATTATTTCTAGTAACATATTTTTTTATCACTTATATATAAGTATTAAATATGTTTATCATAATATAAATATACCTTTTATTATATTATTTTTTGTTAACTTAACTGAATCTTGATATATTTGAGATACAATCTTTCAATCAGAATTCAGATTATTTTCCGACTAGCTAGAGCACTCAAGACAGTACTGAACTCCATGCCCGATGCCAATGCAAGATTCAATTACTTTTTGGCAGCTATCAGCAGAACTTATCGCGATGGTGTCAAAGAAAATTTTCCATTAATCAAAATTTTCTGATTACTTTAAGACTGGATAGAATACTCAAACATTCAAGTTTAAACTGCAGCTCTATGATGAATTACTATACTATTTTCAATAATTTCACGGCCATTATCAACAAAGCTTATCATGAAATTGTTGCTAAAGGAAACTTTTCACCTGTCAAATTTTCTGTTTCAAATGTTTTTGTTTCACCGAAAAATTTCTGATTAACAAGAGTGTTCATGTTAGCCCCCCTCCCCAATTTTACGACAATTTAAGTTTCATTTCTTTCCAAAACAATCCGAATTAGTAACCATATTATCGCAAGGTTAACTGCTTGCTGGAAAAATTTCGTCCACTTTCCGAAGAACTAGAGTGTTTAAACTTGATCTAGAGATTCAAATCTTATGACAAGTTTTCCGTTAGCTTTGTCACCAGAAAAATATATTGTCATATTATTTCGACAATAAATTTATAGTGAATCAAAAGTTCAACTGCTGTCCGATTAGCTAGAGGGCCTACATTTCCTAGATGATATTCCTAGCCTCACACAAGATGACATCGCAAGTTTTTATCGTTTAATAATTACTACATGAAAATTTTTGAATCATATCACCAAAAAGGAAATTGTCTTCAAACTGAATTTCGACTACTTTCCAAGTAGTTAAAGTGTTCTTAAAGGAACTAAACAATCTTAGATGGTTGTTTCACTTATTTTTTGACCTATATAAGCATAATTTAGATCGTGAAGTGAAATTTATCAGTAATCTGAATTTCAAACACTTTCCGACTTGGTAAGAGATTGCTTACATCCTTACAAGAGCTTTGATGAAAATAATATGTAATTTTTTAACAGTTCAAGCTAAATTTATTAACAGACGATAAATTTTTTATGCATTCCGACTTTATATAAAAGGTACAAAATCAAAAAGTAGAAAATGAGAAAATAATTTAATTTTTGTCATAAGAAGAAAGCTACGAGCATAATTTTAGTAATAAACTTCTATCATCACCAAAAAATCTCCTCTTCATGTTTTGAAAGTGATCAGGGTTGCCACAACAAAATAGTTGCTTTTAATAGCCTATAGCATGGAAATAGTTTCCAAAAACTATGAAACTAGTTGCCTAAATAAGAACAAAAAATGTTCAATAATATGACTAAAATTTTACTAAATGTTTAATTGTCATATACCATGATCCATTTAGTCAAATTGGTAGCAAATATAATAATTTTTATATAAACTATAGAGTTCTAGCACTAAATTTTTACATCAAAATGGTATATTTGCAGAAAATTAAATACTTTTAATTACTGGAAGTCATTCAAAAAAATACTTTTTTATTAAAAGAGACATACTTCTAAAACTTTTTTCCTTTTATCAATAATTAATTTAGCAAATATACATTGTGAAAAGTGATTACTCAAATTCGAAATTCACGCATCGTAATATCGTATTAAAAATTGGATTTTTTAAAACCATGCAGAATTTTGTAGCAATAACCGCTGAAAAGGCAATCGAAAAACACAATAGACAGGGGTGGAACTTGTTTGCACTAACTAATTGGCCCTCTCGAACCATTGATATTGAGTTCTAGAACATTAAAATCCGATAATTAGATCAAAAGTTATTCAGGATGATCCTTTTTTTCTCTCTTTTGCGCATTGCACTTAAATTACATTAGGCCATTGATAAATAAATATAAAATTTGTAAAAAAAGGTACTTAATTTGCATTTTACCTTATAGTAGATTCATCTTTCCACATCGCATCTTTGATTTCTCTTTTCCTCCTGCAAAAAAAAGTAAATATTAATGTAAATTGAAACTGTGGATTGGAAAATTAAACTACAATGCGATTAGCAGAAAAATAAATTAATAAATGTAAGAGCAGGAAATCCTAAGGTTAAACACCTATAACACAGCAAAAATTACATTTACAGACTAAAATTTTTTAGGTAGCGAAAATTGAAAGATTGAATGTAAGTTTATAATTTCATTAGTTGCTAAATTTCATAGAGCAATCCTCGAAAAACTCAGAATTCGCACTTAAAATTCGAGTAGTAAGTTTTTTTTATCAGCTAAGTTCTTAAAATTTAAAAGTTACAACCGGAGATTTCACATGTAGTTATCTAATTTTTCGGTATTATTTAAATATTGTAAGGATTAGGGATATAGAACCATACAAAATATATATTAATATTTTTGCTGCCACTTTTTAAGTTTATTAAAGATTGCATGAACGTTGGGTAAAATGTCTTAACCCTTTGAATAAAACAGTGCTATTAACCCTTTGACGCAGAATTTTACTAAACATATTTTTCATACTTTTTATATTACTTTATATTAAGTCAAAATAAGTGAAAAATATTATATTTAACAATTTTATAATTTATGGTTATGAAGTACAGAATAAAACACCGGTGCTTTTTTCTGCATTAAAGGCAAAATCTTCCTAACACGGCTCACTTCCCAACAATTAATTTTCAAATTTGCTGTTATTTATATCTAAGAGAAACAGTTATTCATGAATGAAATTTCTTTAATTTTACACTAGAAAGACTGAAATTTAGTATATACCTATATTGCTCAAAAGCAGTCAAAATGACTGGATTGTAAAAGAATAAATAATGTGTAAAGAAATTTGTTTAAAATTAATTTTTAATCTTTTTTGTATTATTTACAGNTAGCTTAAAACAGACAGAATTTGCTTAAACTTCTTCGGCTTTGGCGAGCATGGATGCTTCCACTAACGGGATAGTTCTTTTGTTCCCGGTGTCATGTAGTGGACCCAGGTCTCGTCCCCAGTGACAACAGAGTCCAAAAAATCCTCGCCATCGGTTTCGTAGGCATGATAAAATTCGCGGGATGCTTCCACACGTTGCCGTTTGTTGTCATCCGTCAGCATTTTCGGGACTCACCTTGCACAAACCTTGGCATATCCTAAGTGATCTCTCAAAATGTTGTGAATGCAGGATTTACTGACATCAGGGATCATCTCTCTGAGGTCCCGAACCGTCACCCTTCGATCTTTCAGCTTTGCTTCTTCCACTTTTGCAATCTCTTCGTCCGAAAACGGTGGCCGACCAGAATGTTGTTCGTCATGGACGTCTGTACGCCCGTCTTTGAATTCTCTGCACCATTTGCGCACATGTTGCACACTCATACACTTTTCCCCGTGCGCTTCACACAGTTGAGAATGAATGTCCACCGGAGGAACGTTTTTTGCACACAAAAACAAATCACAGAGCGTAATTCGCACCTGGCGTGAGAAACAAATGGAAGCGCTATCTTTCAAGGCTACCATGACAAGAATTAACGTTGTAGATAGCTCGCCGGGGCGGGACTGGGGGAAAGGGAGCCAAGCTACACGCCAGTCTCACCAAACCTCGCTTAACACCCTAACGTCCGCAGCTTTTTGGGAACCTTATTTTATGGACAACCCTCGTAATTGAAATTAAAAAGCAGTCAAAATGACTTCCTTGTGCAATCTAGTGTTAAGAAATCAATCATTGATAAATTTTTGAGCGCGAATAAAAAAACTACCTTTTTTGGATTTTATATAATTCCTATAATCTAAAAGATTTGTTTTAGTAAGTATTAGATTGTTTTTTATAATTAAAAAAATACCAAACTATATTTTTGTATATAATGTTAGTAGTGCGGGTATCTCAATTCTGATTGGTTCTTAAAACGTGGCAATTGTTTTCATTGTTCACGAAACTGTTCTTTCCATTCTATTACGAGTAAGCCAAGTCCTTAACGCATTCTATATTCTTTCACGAAGATTTCAATTAATTCACTAGATATTTAATATTTAACGCAAAGACAGGCTTGAAACTATGTAGAACATAACCAAACATAATATGCATCGAAGTTGCCAGGTACACGAAATAAAAATATATCACGGTTACAATAAATTACATAAACAAATAATAAATCTAAGTTAAGTAAAAGATGTAGACGAGAAATAATTATTTTTCAACAAACTCGATGAACGATACGAAGCTGTATTTAATTAATCCCACATTAATTAACAATCTAACTTGTGTGGAGACAATTCGCTCAACTTTAACACGCCATTTTGTTTGCTTATAAACGATCAGCTTGCGCTGACGTCGTAGGTCACATGTGTGGGTATATGTGATCTTTTTCTTGAAGTGCAAGTACCCAATTAGAGAGTCAAAAATATATACAAGGGACACCGGTGTCATATCTCCGTCAAAGTATTAAATTTCATAATAATTTTAATGGCTGTAAAACATACAAATTGTTTTGAAACTTAAAATTAATTGTAATCGTATTGCCTAAATATTTTAAAAAGGTAATTTATTGCATTGTCTAGATTATTTGTAATTAAAATTTTTAAAAAATTTCGTCTTTCATCCCTTTTGATGGTGTATGTTAAGCTCATAGCATTTTTAAATTATTTAAAATATCCTATTTTGTTATAATGTTCGCTTTCAAAAGATTTTAACATACTATTTTTTTCCTTAATCAATATTACATAAGCTTTTTTTCACGGCGACACACAAATTGTCATTTTCGTATCGCATAAACATAACTATATTTCATTTGTATCTTACCTGGCAAAATCGGTTGGTTTTTCAATGAATTTAAAGTCCTCTTTATCATAGTGTAGTGTGCATACTTCTTCATTTCCAAATGCCCGTAATCGGGAATTATCAGCAGCATCAAATACAACACATGAGTAATCATCGAATTCTGAGAGAGAGATAGTAAATTCAATGGATTCGTCGATTTCCCCTTCGGTTGCACTTGCGTTGTAGACGTAGTTAGAAACCTCTGACAGTATCCGCAACTGCTTTGAAATCTGATTACTTTGTTCATTTACATCAGAATCCTTCGCCACAAAAGATACATTCCATTCTCCTACCTGTAGAAAAACAAGAATAAAAACATATTTCATACAGTTGTAGAACATAGCGCAAAGCTGTGTGATTATTTCTGTCTGACTATCACGAGAATTCCTCCAGACTCTAGACACACGTGCAAGCGGTTAATATGGTAATGGAGCCATTTTCCTCTGGTTTAATTTGCTTGAGTCATGCCATTTCGTGAATTCTTCCTCATTACAAATGCTTTTACTATTGTTTCTCTAGCAGCAGACAGCCTAAAACTTTCAGTAGGAAAGAGTTCTCGTGAAAGCTGGACAATATTACCATCTGTCCTCTGATCTATAAGCGCTAGTAGTGTCTGTATACGCTAGCTGTGTGATTATTACTGGCTGACTATCACGAGAATTCCTCCAGACAATAGACATAATTTTCTTAAAACTAGAAGAAATAAGACAAGTGAGGTTACAATCAACACTTTTCCTACTTGCATTTGCTTTTATTTACTTGTTTAACTGGAATCTAGTTTTTTTCCTGTTATAAAACAATTCTGTATATATTTTATATTGATTAATAAGTTATGATAGTAACGGATATTTTAATCCTCCCGAAAATGAGCTACAAATGAAATATAGTTTTACTACCAGGTTTTTCTTATTTTCGGGTAAGGTTTTCTGTCAGTTTTTTTCATGATGGATATCCAATAATTAGTCTAGAAAATGAAATTTACGAGGACCTACCTCAGGAAAATCGTGAGACAAAACATTTTCTTTTGAGCTTAGTTCAAAGCTTCCATCTTCTGATCTCATTTCAAAACTAGTCACATGACCTAATATAAAATAAACCAAAAAAGTAATATAAAATCCAGTTTCAAATGATGCAAAGTCATGTGTCAAGCAGTTCAATAAAAACAAATCAGAGAGATCTTCTTTAAGCTGAGGATGAAAGATGATAAAAACTTTAGATAAAATCGGGCTAATACTAGACGTGACCTCAGAGTTACAAAATATAATTATAGGCTATGCTTTTATTTGTAACAGTGTGTTGGTCCGTTATATTAAGTTGGGGAGAGTCTTCCCCTACATATACTGTTTAACAACAACTCCTTATACCAATATATTGCTTTCTATTATCCCCATCCATTATGTGTCACATATACTTATTTCACATTAACCCTATATAATCACAGTCCGATTTATCACAAGGCCCAGGCCTAAGGCAGCCTCATTTTCAAGAACCCATAAATGTTACAAATAATTTCTTTTTGTGTTTTTTTTCCTTAAGAATTGCTTATTAGAATTACGAGTTATCAAAAATTGAAATAAATACAGGGTGTCCCAAAAGGTCGTTTACAAACTTAACATGCTGGTCTGTCATATCATGATGAACAAGATTTACATAGGAACTTGTGTCCGAAAATTAAAACTGCGACTGCTAGAGGGCGATAATTGCACGAAAACGGGAGAGTGGGATAAACAATCATTTCATGCGTGGACGTTGAAGGAGAAGGATGAATGAGTTTAGTAACGCAGAAATAGCCGATATGCATTACGTATACGGCGCAACTGATGGAAATGGACGAGCCGCGGCACGGACGTACCTTGAACGCTTTCCAAACAGACGTCAGCCATGTCATGTTTTGTTTGAACGATTGCACCGCAGATTATGTGAATCAGGTGCTTTCGTAGCACGTAGCCACATCGGTCGAGAACGTGCTACACGCACACCTGTCGTAGAGGAAACCGTGCTACAGGAGTATGCCATCAACCCGCAAAGAAGTCTCCGAGAAGGCGAACGTGTCTTGGGTGTAGCTCGTTCCACCATAATGCGCATACTGCACGATGACATGCAACACCCTTACCACTTCCAAAAAGTACAGGCATTGTGCGCTGACGATTATCCCAAACGCATTGCATTCTCACGCTGGTATTTGCAACAGCGGGTCGCACAGCCAGATTTTCCATCATGGATTTTGTTTTCTGATGAATCCTGCTTTACACGGGATGGTGTCGTGAACCTGCACAACATGCACGTATGGGCGCATGAAAACCCAAGATGTACACGTGCCCATGCACATCAACAACGTTTCAGCGTAAACGTTTGGGCTGGTATTATCGGTGACATGTTGATTGGCCCTTACCTTCTACCTGAACGCCTCGACGGAAATACCTATCGCATTTTTTTAGAAAGAGTTTTGCCGGATCTGATGGGTGACGTTCCAGCCGCTACACGCCGAAACATCTGGTTTCAGCATGATGGAGCGCCTGCCCACTTTAGCTACGCTGTTCGAGAATACCTCGATAGGATTTATCCTAATCGCTGGATCGGTAGAGGCGGACCAGTCCAATGGCCACCGTGATTCCCCGACCTGACTCCCCTGGATTTCTACATATGGGGACACATGAAGTCCATAGTGTACGAGACACCTGTAACATCGGACATAGATCTTATCACCAGGATCGCGGAAGCGGCAGCAAGTGTCCATGACACTCCTGGCCAATTTGAACGGGTTCGTGAATCCATGCGCCGACGCTGTTAAACGTGTATTGTGGCGAATGGAAGGATTTTTGAGCATTTGCTGTGATGTAATGATGTTTTATAATAAAAATCATATTAACACCGCTATCGATATCATTTTTTTTCTCCTCATCCAAACCTGCACTTATCGCCCTCTAGCGGTCTCAGTTTTAATTTTCGGACACAAGTTCCTATGTAAATCTTGTTCACCATGATATGACAGACCAGCATGTTAAGTTTGTAAACGACCTTTTGGGACACCCTGTATAAGCTCAAATTTAATAATATAGTAATTCATGTTATAATAATTTAAAAACACTTCACAACATGAAAATTTTATTTAAAGTAACGATTAGGGGGGGGGCCCTAATAGTTTTATGCCTAGATCAAGCCCTGCTATAATGTTTCATATAAACCGAAAACGCTGTTTTCCATCAACCCATATAGTGTTTCATATTAGCCTTATCCCATTACACTGATTTACATTATCTTCATGCACTGATTTCACATTATTTCCATACACTAGTTCGTATTATCCCCGCATGCTGATTCAAATTAGCCCCATACGCTGACTCATATTAGTCGCATGCACTGCTTCACATTACCTTAATACACTGGTTTACATTATCTCCAAAAACTGTATCCAATTAACCTCATACACAGATTCTTATCAGTTACTCGGATTTCAGCTATAAATCAGGTTGCGTGAAGTTTCAATGGCTTAAAACACAGAGATGAATCCTTTTTGAATAAAGTTAAGGTGAAAGAAAAATGAGCATTCCCCAAAATACTGTTAAAGAGTTGGGAGTTTAGCATTGTACAGAAATGTTCACAAACATTTTAGAAATATGTTTCCATGATGTGACAGAAAATGAGGGTCCCTGACTACACCACGGCATATGGGTGGTCTGAATACTTTCATTAAGTGGCCAGTTCATTATTTCAGCTTGATAATATGCAAATGCTATTTCAAAAAAAGTGTTTGTTAGGTTTTGGCTATCTCCATTTATTCATTTAGTAAACAAGAGTCTTATCGCGTTTTCGATAAAAGCATTTTTTATTTACATATTTGTGCAATAATCTTGTCAGAGAATTGGTTGTTGATGTTACCTCTTTTTTATAATTTAGCATATTCAAGGCAATATATTTGATTAATCTGTAAAAATTAAAAACTTTTAATTCCACTCAAAGCAGAAATACTTACCGGAAATATCGTATTCAAAGTACAGTGTGGAGTGTTTAGGCGCATCTGACTTGTTTTTGCCTTTCAATTGAATCCTGTCTTCGGGATATGTACCATCTTTTACAAAATATGTTGTCACTGACAAGTTTCCCAATTTCTTAAAAATGGATACCTGAAAGAAAATCGGAACATGTGATAAATATTGTTTGTATTGCGAGTTAAATACCATATTTATATAAAGGTGGGTTAGAAACGTTGAAATAGATTAAAATCTTTAGCAGTAGATCAGAATATCAGTGAGCTACCACCATCCAGAAGATGTATGCAAAATCATGTTATTTTTGTTTCGAATGACACTTGGACTAGCTAAGATCAGTAGCCATTGGAGTAGTCAGGAAGGAGCGTCTTTCGTTCGACAAGAGAGCACCGCTGGGATGAAAGTGCGAGTAAGCTTAGAATCCCGCGGACAGATGGCATCACTGTTCATTCATGAGGCCCCTTCCAGAATTTAGAAATAGATCTGGAGGGGAAGTAAATTCTCTCTGAATCCTTCATTGTACTGCTTAGCAACTGACAGCAATACTTTTGATTCTACATATTTTACGAGTACGTAATCGGTGGTTCTTAGCTTCGGGGATTGAATTTCTACCTCGAAGTTTGGTGATCTAATTTCCTAACTACAACCGTCATTAAAATCATATAACTCTGAATTAAAACATTCTGACTCCTCAGTAGACCAATGAAAATTTCGGTTTGTTGAACCAACAGAAAATATTAAGTCGTAATCTTAAAGTCTTAAAAAAATATATTCTTGTTAAGAAATGTTAACTTTTAAACCCTATTTCAAGGTGATCAAGAAATTCTAGGATTACTTGGAACTTCAATCCTTTTAAGACAGGTTTTCATTTGATTAAGTCTGATTTAAAAGATTCTAAATTTAAAACTTTTGCTCTCTCAATGAATGAAAACCTGCGAAAATCAGATTCAAAAATCGAAATAATCAAAAAAATTTTGATCCTTTTTCAGTAGGGTGTTAAAATTAGCCATTCAAAATTTTGCTGCTGTTGTGGCAGCACCAAAGTTATATTTTAAAAGTTTTGGAAGTTTGGAATGGTAACTTTTAAGCCCTACCGCAAGATGATCCACAAATTTCAGAGTCAGTTTGAATTTTGAGGTTTTGAATTCGGATTTGACGATTTTTAGTCCACGGAGAAGGCAGAAGATTTCATAGCTTAAGATTTTGTATACATCTTAGCAATGGTAGTTGACAACTTTTAAGATCTACCGCTAAAAAATTTAAGACACTTAGACTTAAACATCCGAATGTGTCGGGTGATTATAAACTGATTTTGCCGAATGGAATAAATTTATTATAAAGGTTGTTATACGGTGTACGCTATAGTAAAACAAGTGTTAGAGAGTTGTGGCTGAGTTTCAGAACTCATCAAAATATGATAAAGTTATATAACGCTTTTGGAAAAGTATTTTTATCTTAAAAATGGCGTCACTGAATGAAAGAGTACTTCATTCATGCTTGAGGTGTCTGAAATTGAACTGCACTGAATGCAAGCTGACGAAAACGGAAAAAAAAAGACGAACTCCTCTGAAAGCGAACTGTATTTTCGTCAATTTAGCATAACGGTACCGTTGTCGTCAATTTTTTTTGTTAAAATTATAATTCCAACTTCAAAAATGAGATGTTTCCCTCTTTTCATTGAGGAAACGATCCATTTTTTTGGGGTTTGCTGCTATCAAACTCGTAACTTTACAGCTTTGTATATTTGAATCCAGAATTCGAAGAGACCAGCTGTCGCTCGAGTTTTCAAACCTCGGTCGCTTCATTAGGAGACACTCGCTCTATCTCTTTAGCGATCACGTTTCACATGTTGCCATTTCGTATTATATTATAACCGACGATGAACAGCTGACTCATTTTTGGGTTTAAGGCTATCAGAATCCCAAGTCCGTATTCTTGTATTTTTGAACCCAATTCAGAAGACAAGGGAACACCTGTATCAATTTTGTGACAACCCAGCTTTTTTTATTTAATTAACTCGCATTTTCGTTTCACCTAAATTTACAGGTTGAAAAATCATGAATTCATGTAAGCACTTGTCATCGATACGAAGGTATTACGCTTCTTGAGCAGGTGATTTTAAATAAGAGTTAATTTTTAGATTTTAGTTATTAACGTTCCTAGTGACGTTCGTTAATAATTTATAATTAACGTCAATAGTGACGTTAACGAATGCCTCAGCCTTTTACGTTAATGGCTTGTTTTCCTATTAGACAGTAAAAAATAGTGATGTTCAGTGATAGGTTGCGTCAGAAAGTTATTTAGCTTCAATTATGATTATCAAATTTCAAAGTATAACATCATTCTGGCCCAATTTCTGACTGAAATGTTTAATGGTATTGTATGCATGGAATGTGAATATTATGGAATGACACAGGCGGAAAATTTTAAAGTTCACTGGCTCCAATAATATCCAGACTGTGAATACTTACGGTCAGTTCGAAAACTTCACAACTAACGGGATTGGAGATATTTATAGACACAGAATAATTTCCATCAGATGAATATGTGTGTGAGAGAGTTTTAGTCCATTTATCAGATCCATCTTTTATCTCATCAGATTCTTCATCGCTTTCATCTCCATAATTTACGACGTAGTTTGCTGAGGAAGGCAAGTACTTGCCATCAAACTTCAAATTAAAGGAAATTTTACCTTTAAAAATAAAGTATATCATTAGCATATGGAGGTGAAAAAAGTCAAAACTTCTTCATTCAAACACACAATACATTTACATCCGTCGTTGAACAGCTGACCCAATTTTGGGTTTACGGCTACTAATGTTCAACTCCGTAGCCTCGTAATTTTGAACCAATCCAGAAGACAAGGAAACTCCTGGATCAGTACCCCCAGAGGTATTGATTTGCTATGGGAATATGGGGGACTTTGATACTCGACAGATTTAACGTGCATCAGTCATCATTTTACTACACGGGGAGTCTTCGGCCGGCTGGGATCGAACCCACGAACTCTTAGACATGGGCCCAATGCCTTACCAAACCAGTTTATATTGGTCAAAAAAAAAACAGACAATGCAGTAAAAAACAACTGTTTTTTATTGAGTTTTACACCTTTTGTATTTTAAGGTAAATTTTTCAGTAAGGAAAAATATTGTACTGCGCGCAAAATAAAAAAAGTGAACTTCCTGAATAACTCTTTATCTAATGATTATATTTTCCCATAGTGGGACTGAATCTAAATGAATTAAGGACCTAACCTTAAATATGCCAGCAAATTAGAGCCGACGATATTTTAAGTTATGATATCAAACTCAAAAACCTACTGTCTTTAAATAAACATGTTTTTTTTTTATACCTGAAAGAAAATCGGAACATGTGATAAATATTGTTTGTATTGCGAGTTAAATACCATATTTATATAAAGGTGGGTTAGAAACGTTGAAATAGATTAAAATCTTTAGCAGTAGATCAGAATATCAGTGAGCTACCACCATCCAGAAGATGTATGCAAAATCATGTTANAAATTTTTGCTCTGTTACAATCGTACCCTGTTACAATTGACCCCACTCTCCCCTACTATATTGATATAAAGGTGGATTAGAAAAGTTGAAATTTATTAAAATGTTTAGCAGTAGATCAGGAAAGTAGTAAACTGACACTATCATTAAGATGTATGCAATGTTATTGTTGTTCCGAATGACGCGTGGACAAGCCAAGATGAATGTGAATTTAATGGAATGACACAGACGGAAAAATTTAAAGTTCACTGGCTCCAGTAATATCCAGACTGTCAAGAATAATACTTACTGTCAGTTCAAAAACTTCACAACTAACGGGATTGGAGATATTTAGAGACACAGAATAATTTCCATCAGATGAATATGTGTGTGAGAGAGTTTTAGTCCATTTATCAGATCCATCTCTTATCGCATCAGATTCTTCATCGCTTTCATCTCCATAATTTACGACGTATTTTGCTGAGGAAGGCAAGTTCTTGCCATCAAACTTCAAATTGAAGGAAATTTTACCTTTGAAAATAAAGTATATCATTAGCATTTGGAGGGGAAAAATCAAAACTTCTTCATTCAAACACACAATACATTTATATGCGTCTTCGAACAACTGACCCAATTTTGGGTTTACGACTACTAATGTTCAACACCGTAGTCTTGTAATTTGTAACCAATTCAGAAGACAAGGAAACAACCGGATCAGTACCCGCAGAGGTATTGGTTTGTTATAGGAACATGGATGACTTTGCGACTCGACAGATTTAACGTGCATCAGTCACCATTTTACTACTCGGAGAGTCGGCTGAGATCGAACCCACGAACTGTTGGATATGTGCCCAGTGCCCTACCAATCAGGCTATCCCGGCCAAAAAAAAAATACCGTTAAAAAACAACAACAACAACTACTTAGTTTTACACCTTTTGTATTATAAGGTAAATTTTTCAGTAAGGGAAAATATTATACAGTGTGCAAAATAAAAAAAGTGAACACCCTGAATAACTCTTTATCTGATGATTATATTTCCCCGTAGTGGGATTGAATATAAATGAATTAAATATTCCAGCAAATTAGAGCCGACAATATTTTAAGTTAGGAGATCAAGCTCAGAAACCTTCTTGACATGGCGAAATACGCAACAAGTAAAATCAACATTTTCAAACTTTCGCCAGCTCTCTTGCGTAAAATATAGAGATCATTTACTGGTTACTCCCCATAATCCATTGGAAAAAGGGTATGTTAAATCAGAGAATTGCGTTTTCGTTTCTGATATCGTAATTCAATTAGCATATTTAATGTTTGGACTTCAAACCATTAAGAGGATTGGGTCTTAGTACATGAAAATCCGATCATCAGATCAAACGTTATTCAGCGTGTTTATTTGCACCTCATAAGGCACAAATCTTGAACTAGTTTAAGTATTTGAACTAGGGTAAATATTTGTACTAGTGTAAATATTTGTGTGCTTTATGTAGACAATTTTTGCTATGTGATATACATAACAATAACTTATGCTCTCTTCCGAGTTTTTATAATTGAGGGTAAATAACTTCTGTTACACACTTAATGGTAACTTGTACATTGTTTTGTGCTTTACAGGAAATAAAAATAACTTTTGAGACAGACTTAACAATGACATATTTTGTTCTGGATCTTTACAGGAACTAAAAATAACTGCTGTTATAGAATTCATGTTCCGTTTTTTACAGAAACTGAAAATGATTATTATTGCAGACTAAACAATAATTTATGTTTTGAGTTTTTATAAGAAAGAAAAATATGTGGTTTTATAAAAATTACTTTTACTTAAAGTTAGAAAAGAGGGGGTTGTACTTAACGAGTTTCACACACGCCTTTGTCCCTAATGGAGCATTTATCGGTTAATGGTTAAGGCTGGAAGAAAAGACAATTAGAAAAAAGAAGAACAAATAGCAACTAGGCAACAAAAGACAAAAAGATCAAAACAAGGAAATACAAAATTTAAGAAGAAAAAAAACACAAAATCTAAAAAAAAAAATAGATTTTATTATTAATTAGGGCATTTCAACTAGAATGTTTCCAGGGCTAATTGGTCAAATTTAATAGTGATCACTATTGCGTAATAACGAGTTTCACAGCTACGACTACTCGAAATTAAGTGATACTTGTAACTGTTTTAAAACCATTTCCTATAATTGCATTCATCTGCTTAACTCTTCAAATGAAGCATAACCTTTTGTCATAAGCTTACCTGGTGGATATGTTCTCGGTGAATCAGAAGAAAAAGACCAATCTCTTTTCACAGGATGAAAACAACTGAACTCTTGGGAGGCGTTTTCCGCATTCCATTCGTTTGACACTACAGCAGTGAGCACATGTTTGCCTGGTGATTTACATGCTATAGTTCTGAATATGCCTTCATCTGGTATTTCATCTGGAAAATCAAATTCGAATTCTGGTAGGATGGTATTTTTTGCAACAAATTTAACAATTAATAATTCTCGAACTAAAAATCGAATGTTAAATTTTTTTATCCCATCGTATTCCCTGTACATATTTTCATAAACCCTCGTAATTTCTTATGCGTGTTGTATCTGTCGGAGCAGAACAGTATGTAACAAAGAGTTGAACACTCAAAATAGTGGCTGTGCCTACGATTATTTAATTATTTAATATAGAGGGAAAAAAATATTTTTTTCAGTTTGGTAATGAAAATATTGCCCAATGTAAAAGTAATTTATAGTATATCGCAACATTGGTTTAAAAAATATTGCAACAACTCTTTAATTATTGATATTAAATTTTGATTTCTCTCAATTGCACAACAAATAGTTCACAGTTTGTTAGGCTCAGCAATGCTTGTATTGTCACAAACAAAGATTGCTTACTGCGGTGCAATTAAAAAATAAACGCAAGTGACAAAAAGTTAAAAATTAAAATCTTTATGCATTTAGCATCTTTATATGGTAAGATACATACTAAAAAAGAAAAATGTTCAAAAATAAATTTTATTTGTTTGTGTGAAATTCTATTTTAGCGTTCATAGCATTAGCAATAAAAGGAGAAAAGTCAAGTCACTTTTTTTTCAATTGCACGGCAGTAAGTTATTGTTTTTAGTTATTATTCTAAGTTATTGTTTTTGGTATTTTAAGAGTGACTTTCAAAAGGTCATAGCACTATTAGAGTTTTGTAGCTTTTGCCTAGTTACCTGAAAACCACGCACACAGTATTGAGTACTGCGTGGAATATTTATTAACATTCGTTTTTAGAATCGAATAGCAATGTACTTAAAAACGGAATTATAAGAATTCGAATCGAACTGTATTATAAACAAACCATTGTAATGGCATACCTTCAAAATCTTCTTCCGTTTCTTCATCAGANCCTTCTGAGCCCAAGTCTGCGGGTTCGATCCCCTGCCCAGACACCGGATTTTCGGGATGCAGAAAATCCTCAGCGGTCGTGTCGTATGATTATGCGGCATGTAAAAGATCCCTGGAGTGCCTTATTGGCTCTTGGCATTTCCGGCAAAATTAAATTAAATATTACCTGAAAACCACGCACACAGTATTGAGTACTGCGTGGAATATTTATTAACATTCGTTTTTAGAATCGAATAGCAATGTAAACCATTGTAATGGCATACCTTCAAAATCTTCTTCCGTTTCTTCATCAGAATATGCCAAAATCAATTTGAAGTCACTACCCGAGCCAGTAACGTGAATCTGAACATTATCACCAACAGTGTTGTCGACATTAGCAAGATTCACCAAAATGTTTGAGATTGGTATTTGGACTAATACAGCTTTTGACTCTGAATAAACTCCCTTCGCATCTGATAATGCTACGGTAAATGAATGATTACCAGTCTGAAAAAAATTTATCAGTCAGTATATTTAATTCAGTATTAAAATAACTTCATAAACAGGTTGAGGAATCTGACGTTAATAATCAGATACATTCCAATCGGCAGCAGCCATTTTGCAAAGTGCCACACTAGGTAGATAAGTCTCCAGTATTTTTAGTTTCGCAAATGCTTTTTAGGCTTATTGCAACAAACACTGAATCCCATGAGCCGCGATGACTCAGCGGATAGAACTTATCAGTTCTAGCATTAAAATGTGAAATGAGGCTGTTGTACCAGATTAAGAGCTTAAAATTATATAATATATTGAACATTGTGTGCTTGTGGTACTGAATTATCACAGATTAGATTAGAGTTCTACGGCATTTGCATTTTTTTCAAGAACATTGTACTGCGCCATTTGTCGGCATCTTTTGCAACAAAGTCCCGAAATTTCAACATGAAAATTTTACACCTTTCACATTAAACTCTGTCATTCCACTATCACTAGATTTTTAGTTTTCAAATCAGTCAGTCTTCCTATGTAGCCCTACTACTTCAAAGTATTAAACTCCGTTTAAACACTACTCCAAAGACTAGAGTAGTGTTTATACTAACCTCGCAACTACAACGTAATTTTCGAAAAAAAAATCCTATATCAGAAGAAGAGCTTGATATTTTAATACGTTAGAAGAATTTTTTTCCACCACAATATATTCAATACTTCATTTCTTTTTTAATTTGCTTTATCTGACCCTGGAAAAAGAATTTTAACCCAAGGTTTTCTAGTGCTACTGCTTTCTGGCTGCTTTTTAATTTCAATTGGAAAAACACGATTTCTTAGAATTTTGTGACTTTTTGTGCAACATATAATTTTTTTTATCGTTAATATTTACTAATAACTTGTTATAAAGCTGTAAATGATATAAAAATTTATAAAAAATTAACTTTAACAAATTTTTTTACACGTGAGTTATTTGTTCAAAATCCAGTCATTTTGACTGCTTTTGGACAATATAGGTATATACTAAGTTTCAGTTTTTCTACTGTTAAATAACCTCAATGTTGGAGGGTATGTGTATTTATTATTTTTTGGCAATATGCAAATTTATTTAACATAAAAACCAATTGATAGCATTTATAGAAATTAATACAATACTCACCGTATTAAATGAGAATTTCAAAGATACATTCGCCGGCTCTACAGTTATCATTCTCAAATAATGCAGGACTCCCAATTCCTTGTTTCCATCTAAAAGTACGTCTTGCAAACCACTACTTATATCCTCATCTGTTGATTTCCGATAACCAATTGAAGTATCATCGAGAGTTTTGAATCCAATTATTTCTCCAGGATATAAATCTAATTCTTTTTTGAAATCAGACGAATCGAAGTTAAAACCGGGATCTTTCGATTCGATTACTTTGGAGTATCGTATTTTGTATCGCTTTTTCAACTCTTGATGGAAATCAGATTTGCAATCCGTTAAAGGATTCTGCTTGATGCATTGAACAGTCCTGGAACAAATGACTTCATCTTCAGGGCACTGGTAAACTGTCCAAGGATTGCAGCCGTGGCTGCAACCAGTCTTTTCTTTAATAGGTTGCAAGATCTATAAAAAGAATATTTCATTCTTTTGGCATTTAAATTTAATCGTTTTATATTTTCCCAGTTTAAACAAAATAGATTGAAATCATTGATCTAGGTAGCAACAATAACAGTGGCTAATTTAAAACGAAGAAATAATTTTCAAACATCTCTCTAGAGCGGGCAAAATAAAATTTTTACGCAATTTTCCGTATCAGGAACTGAAAATGCTCACGCTTGATTGATTGTAATCTATGTCCAAATTTCAGAACACTAGCACAAATGATTTCGGAATTATAAGAGGTTCCACATAGCGTTCCGAACAGACAAAAAATAGTAAAAGCTAGAGTTAGTAAAAGATAGCAGGTTTTGCACATCCTCGCTGACACAGTAGAATTAAAATACAGGAGAAGTCTTTTATAATCATCGTTGAACAGCAGACTCAATTTTGGGTTTACGGCTACCAATGTTCAATGTTCTGTAACCTTGTAATTGTAAACCCAATCCGGAAGACAAGGGAACTTCTAGATCGAGTATTGGGATAAAATTTGCACGAAAACCTCCCATAGTAAGGCTGGCGGCAAGAGGAATTCAACCCATGATCATTCTTCCACTGAGCATATTTTGGCGTCAGCACTGTGGTGGATGCAAACTAGGCGCGGAATTCGTATCGACCTACCATTGCTGGGATTCGAACCCGGTTCACATCATTGGAAGGTGAACGCTTTATCCTCTGAGCCGTGGTGGCTCAGAGGAAGTCTTTTGTTGACATTGCGTCTTAAGATCTACATATGTATTCTGCAATCAGCAAATTTAGAGTCGTCATGGCTCAGGAGAAAAAGTGTTCGCCTTCCAATGAGGTGAACCGGGTTCGAATCCCAGCGATGGCTGATTGATATGAATTCCACACAAGGATCGCACAGACCACACTGCCAACGTAAACTATCCTCAGTGGTAGGCGAATCATGGGTTAGAGTCCTTTGCCATCTGGCTAACCGTGGTAGGGTTTCGTGGTTTTCCTCTCCATGTAACTGAAATGACGACCCATCAAAAAGTCCTCCATGTAGGCAAATTTCTCCCCATACTTGATCCAGGAGTTCCCTTGTCTTCTGAATCGGGTTCAAAATTACAAGACTACGGAGTTGAACATCAGTAGTCGTAAACCCAAAAAAGTGGGTAGGTTGTTCCACAAAGGTTGTAAAATAAAATAAAATCAGAAAATTTTACATTCAAATCTGGCACTATGGCATTATTCTCCATCATTTGCAATTTCTTCACATGGGATTTAAATTAAGCATGAAAACCTATGCTACAATTACTATCCCTAGCATATCTTCAGCATCGGTCCTAAACTAATACTTTGTACGATATGATGGCTATCGGAAAGATTTTATTTATTGCCAAAATTCAATGCATAACGTTGACATCTCTTGAAAACAGTTAACAATGAAACAAAAGTACTTCATCAGGTACTTACTTATTAACGCTACCAGGCCAAAATTCGTATAAATCGCCAAATTTGGCAATTAGAAGAAAAAAATAGAAAAATTGAAATCAATTTTTTTTTTATAAAACAAAGTATTTTATAAACAAAATTATAAGCATATATTTTAATAACCTTTTANCAGGTACTTACTTATTAACGCTACCAGGCCAAAATTCGTATAAATCACCAAATTTGGCAATTAGAAGAAAAAAATAGAAAAATTGAAATCAATTTTTTTTTATAAAACAAAGTATTTTATAAACAAAATTATAAGCATATATTTTAATAACCTTTTTGATTACATATTATTTCGACATCACATAGTGCATTATTTCTCATAACAATTACAGTTTTTTATATTATTTTGTTTCTAACTATATATAAAAATCCAGTGATGGTGTCGCACCAGCCAATGAAATCTAAGGTATCACGTGACAGTATGAAAGAAGTAGCCNCACGTAGGGTTGCCGTAAGTAGGGTCGCCAAATTTGGCGATTTTCGCGAATTTTGGCCTGGTTGCGTTAATACGTAAGTACCCTTCATCATCAAAGCTGCGCGGCAGCAGCTAGACGGTGAAAGAATTTAGCTAATATATTGTTTAAAACAAATTTATGATCTCAATATGGTTGGTGTTTTCTGCACTAGGGCGCACTGCAAGATTTTTACTGACTATACTTCCGGGTTATTCTTTCCGGTGTATTTTGTTGTTCTTAGGCTGATAACATGATCATTGAGTCTTAAGTATTTCTTGTATGCTTGTTATTGTTACCAGATTTTTTATTATTTGGGTCTAAAAAAAGAATTGTCGTTTGAAATAAACGAATCGTTATAAAACACTTCTTACCTTGTCAACAATAAATCAACTTCAAAATTTAAACCTAAATTATTATTTGATTAGAACTTTATCTCGCTGCTCTAACGATATGCTAACACTAGAGTATGATGGTTCATAGCCTGCAACAGTGCCAGCAATAAACAAGTAAAAAGAGGCCAAATCGGGACTGCCAAAAAAGCGAGTTCTATTTAAATCTAGCAACCATGTCACCATTGTTAACAATACATCTCTAAATAACTAAAAAAATTTTTTACTTACAACTCCCCAGAACTACTTAATATCACCAATATCTAATATAATTCTCTTACGTGGCTCCTAAATTTTGGCTGTATTTCTTTTCCACCGGTGGTAACGTTTGCTTTGTTTTGTTTACGTTACTATTTCTCTTACACGGCGAATCGACCAATTATTGCCGCTAAAAATGTCACATGCCAAATCTAGATGAGGTAGCTCAACATATAACGCTTTTAAAAGCGGAAACTGAAATAACCAGAGAGCATCAGCTGCGGCAATCTCATACTATTAAGCTAGGCAGAAGCGAGTAGTCTTTTTCGATAGATCTCTATTTTAGTATTTTGTCGAAAACGCTTTTTTTCACGAATTTATATATTACGAATTTATTTGACGATTTTTGATTTATATCACGAATTACACTATAGCACATTTCTAATAGGTTTAACGAATTACATGTCATTTATTTGTATTCAAATTTATTTAATGACTTAGTATTTACTAAAAAAGATGTAATTTTTTTAAAAAAAGTTTTTATATGGATTTGAATGATTGTTTTGAATTCTTAGAATTTTGTGCATTTGCAAAGAACCTAAGTTAGTAGCGAGCGAAGCGAGCTTGGTTTGCGAAGCAAACCATATAAGATTGCGAAGCAATTTTCGGGGGTTGACGAGCGTTAGCGAGCAGGTGGCGCAGCCCACTAGTTTTATGAAATACAATAAATTTGAGCTCAGAAATTATGTACTTATTTTTGAATTATGTCGATTGTGGTGAGGAACTAATGTCATAGTTCCTCACCCGTCCATTGCGTGTGTAAATGCATTTTACTCTGATTTACTACGCTTGGTCACTGTGAGTTTTTATTTTTCGTCTATTTTTGATCTTTTTTCTTTCTTAACCACTGTTGTTTTTCTTGTTTTGCTTCTCAATTCAATCTTTCAACTTTTCGTTTTATTTGAAATCCCTTTTGTTTCTTTTCATTCACGTCTGGCAACTCTTGAAAATGGGTGTCTATTTCTTGAAGCTCTGAAAACATTCTGACTATTTATTTCCTATTTGTGTATTTTTTTTAGCGAACGAAGCTTTTAATGAGGTAATATTTTACCGCTTTAGTTTCTCGGGGTTATTTATTTATTAGTTAAGCATTTTGTTCCCTTCGAGTAAAAAAAAAGTTATTAAGTTTCTAAGTAAACTCACGTAAAACTCGAACTTTCCTGGCTTCACCATTTGAAACTCGAGTCCTCTAAGCCTACTTTTAGATCTCACCTCACTGTAAGGTAAAAGAACTATTTTCTCTGAAATATCAAGTTCTTCTTGGGATGCAAGGTCAACAGGAACTTCATGACCGATAAATACATAAGCAGGATCTGAAAAGAAGAAATTATTTTAATTGTTGTTTAATGCTATTTTTGAAACAAACGAAATTGGAAGCACTCCAACAGAGTGTAAATAAGTTGCAAACCGAAAATGAGGAATTAAGAAAAGAAATAAATGAAAGCAAACAAGCAATACTCGGGACCAGTCTCGATGGTACAAACCTTCTACACCACCGAAAAATAATACCGTCAAAAATAATTGAAAGCAAGAAAAAAACCGGGTTAATCACTTCAATTACTCATCATTTCATCTCTCTGCGCTGGGCCCACGTTTGAGAGTTCACAGGTTCGAACAGCGCCGACGGAAGACTCCCCGTGTAGTAAAGTGACTGATGCACGTTAAATCTGTCGAGTCGCAGAAGTCCTCCATGTTCCCAAAACAAATCAAAACCTCTGGGGGTACTGGATTGGAGATCTATCGTTCTCTGATTCAGGACAAAATTACGAACTGTGGATGAATGAATGGATGTATGAATGGGCCCGCCCTATAAACGGGTGCGACGTGCGGTGTGGCAGAAGTCGAACTCTTGGCCATAGATGGCGCCACAGGAAAACAGAAAAAATTGCACCCCCTCTGCCTAAACAGGCATATGTCAACAACAACAACATTGGAATGGTAGAAATAGCGGAATGGTAGAAATGGCAACAATCTCGGTACACAGCGGCTTTAACCGATTCATCGAAAATTAGGTGGTTCGAAAATGTTTATTCAGTCACTGGTGGATCTGAAAATAGAAGAAAAAATAAAAAATCACAGCGAGCTGTGATCTTACAAAAATATATTGAGGGGGTGTGGCTTCATGGATACTGGCATCTTATTGGCCCTTGGTAAAAAGTCTATGTTGAGTTTGCAGATGCAGTTTCAGGAGCTCTAGATTTTATGAGTTCGATCAATAAATTGAAGACTTCTTCATTTTGAATAAATTTTTCAAGTTCTGTGAGGAGTAAAAGGAGTCTCGCAGCTGGAGCTTCTAGCTTTTTCCGTTGGTCGGATGTTGGATCTGGAGTTGTTGGTCTGTTTGAATGACCTTTTAAACTGTCTTGAAGGGCGGCACTCTTTATATTGAAAAAGAAGCAGTTTTATATACATGCTGAAATTATAAAAGAAATCTTGATTGTAACAGATATTTTATTTTTCTCGAAAAAAAAAAAGCTTGAAGGAAATGTCTTTGGTACCTGTCCGTCTTGGTATATAAGGGATTTTCAGCCATGGTGACAACGATTGGACATAGTACAACAAAAAATAAAATTTCGGAACAGATGTTTAATAAAGTTTTAAGACAAAGATTTATTGCCGAACATTTCTCCATTATTGCTCAGTCTTATTTTAAACCTGGAGCCGCGATGCTGTCTTTATCCCGCCCATCTGAAATGTTTGATGTCTATGATATGAAATGGGGTACGCTAACTGATGATCAGAGAATGGGTGAGGCAGAGATGTAAGGTAACGCCCACTTTGATGTCTTTATCTTGGATTTCATGGTTTGTAAATTATATTCTGTTGGAGTGGGGCTTTGGGGGTCTCTCTGTGTTTATTGGAGTCTCAGATAAACCTACTTGCGCCAGTGGTGCAAGTAGGTTTATCAGAAGACTTTGCCTTTCAAAAAACGTGAAAAATATTGCTACCTTAAACTTTCTACACAAATAATATGTTAAAGCTTTTCTAATAAGGAGTTTGCCTTTCTTTCTTAAAATAAAATAATTTTTAAAAATATTCAAATTAAATCCTCCCATCTAAAACTACTCATATGGGTCCCCAAATAAAGACATGGCCAGGGTCCCTAAAAATATAAAATCAAAAATAAAGCCGCTGAAATGGGCGTTACCTCACACCTTGCCCCACCTGCTCACTAACCATCTAGGCCCTGGTGTTCGAATTCATGCTCAGCCCTGCTAACCCCATCGTTTTCACTTTAAATTCAAGATAAATAGGATAAAGGCCTCTGTGCGCAATTCTAAGATAAACCTTGCAAAATTGTTTATTTTAAGTTAGAATATAAGCGTTTCCATTCTCCAGAACTTACAACCAATTTTATCGTTAAAGTACTTTTAGCCTCATAGCAATATGTGGTTAAATATTATTGATTTATTTCTTAAAATAATTTTCACATCAATAATATTAGCCAAAAATAATTTAGTTCCAAATTAAAATTACATAAACTATCATTTAAAAAGTATGTTTTCTATCTTGCATCTTCAATTTGATCATTATAACCTTTTAAATTTTTAAAATCATTTTTTTAAATCTACCAGTTTATTTTAAGAATTAAATTTTTGAATAAAATTTTAAATTATGCCTGTTAATGACAAACTAACTTCTTCTAATTTGAATAAGACTTTTGCCAGTTCTTAGCTGGTAAAAGTTATGAGAAAAAAATGAAATCTTCTTATTACCTTCCCTTTCTTAAACTCACTATTTTGTATTTGTATATTCATTCCCTGCTTTACATAACAGGGGTTTAAATTGAAACACCAGTCAAAATTTTACATAGGACTCTTTAATGTTTGAAGGAACATTAAATAATACTCGTAGTGTCAAATTTTTATCATGTTGAATTACAAATTAAAATAAGAAGTAGATTTTTAAGCAACGCAGATGATTAATTTTGTGTTTGAATAAATATTTTCTTGGATGCAAAACCTGAGAAATATTTTTTCTTGCACCGTTGGTATGTCAAATTTCACAGAAATATAAATATAAATTTTTACGAAAATTGTCCGCAAAAAATTAAAACTAATATATTTTAGTTCGCGGGCAGACAGTTGGTAACCACTGATAAATAATTTATTCTATTTTGTTTGAAAACAACATAAAAATGCAACATCTTAAGATATATATCTCTACTTTATAGTTGATACAAGGATTGGGTTCAGAGCACCAAAAAGTGAAAAGAAAATTTTGGAACAAATATTCAATAAGTTTTAGGACAAATTAAAGATTTATTGCCGAACATTTCTCCATTATTGCTCAGCCTCATTTTTAACCTTTGTCTGCGCTGCTGCCTTTATCTGAAATTTTTAATGTGAAGGCTATGGCAATGGAGTACGCAAATTGAGGAGCAATTGAGATAATCAGCAAATGGTTAAGTATAGACGTCAGGTAACGCCCACTTTTGATAGCTTTATCTATGATTTCACGGTTTGTAAATTATATTCTGTAAGAGTGGGGATTTTGGGATCTCTGAAAAACCTTCTGCCATCAGTGGTGATTTTATGCAGCATTTTGTTTTGCCAAATGTTAAGTTTTTTCCCGATGAATTAATGGCATCGCAGACAAAACAGTGGAGGTGTATGCGACTATAGGACGGAACATTGAACTGTACAGAAGCTTTTTTAGTGTGAGGCTCATCTGATGACTATTGATTTGTAGAATACCGACGATAGGGCTATTAAATAAAATTAGAAATACCTTTGAAGCGATTCATTAACAATCACGAAGAAGTTACAACTCAACAGTTGAAAAAGTTTTTCTAGTTTTTTATCTTTCGCGAACCGTATTTACTTCCAATAATATTTTTTTGCATTTTCTAGTATAAAATTGAATTGGTGAAAAATGATATTTTAAGTAATATTTTTATTTATTGTTTATATTATTTATAAATACACTGCTGGACAATTGCTAAGGACGGGTAACACTATCATCCGTAGCAACCACAAAATGAAAGGGAGCAAAATGCGGAAAATTAGAATAAGTACGGGATATAGTAGGAAGAGGTATGCGTATGCAAATTTTTTTTCCATTTCTGTTCATAACGTGAAAGCGCTGATTAGAGCTTTAAAGGTTTTGACGCGTGTGGAGAGTTGTTTTTTCAAGTCAAAGTTTTACAGGAAAGATTTAGTCGACGAACTTGAAATTTTTGTCATGTCTTTCCGATATCACTTAGATGATTTTAAGCTTGGCCGAATTATTGGAAATATCGAAGAAGGGCGAAAAAATACAGATGTTTCTAGGGAGTTCGACATCGCTCACAGCGTTGTTTCACGGCTGTGGAAATCATTTAAAACTACTGGAATGTGTAGTAGGTGGCACGGGGGAGGTCGTGTTAGAAGTACGACGCCTGCAGAAGACAGATACATAGTCCTATCAGCAAAAAGGAACAGGAGCACCACAGCTCAGCAGGTGGCAAATCAGTTTCTTGCTGCCACAGGAAAGCAGATCTCCCGAAAAACTGTTGCCAGACGTTTGAGGGGAGGAGGACTATACGCTCGCAGACCTGTTGTGTGTGTCCCATTGACCAGACAGCACCGTACTGCCCGTTTGCAATGGTGTCGTGAGCATCACAATTGGACTGAACAGGACTGGGCATGCGTACTATTCTCAGATGAGAGTAGGTTCAGTCTGTCATCGGATTGTAGACGCCAACTGATCTGGCGCGAGAGTGGTACTGGTTATCGTCCAGAAAATATCCAGGAAAGGGACCGATATCCGACATGCAGTGTCATGGTGTGGGCCGGCATCATGATCAATGGCCGCACGCGCCTACATGTGGTTGCGAATGGGACTATGACGGGCCAACGATACATTGATGAAGTTCTACTTCCTCATGTTCGTCTTTTCCGTGGTGCTGTCGGTGATAAATTTGTTTTTATGGACGACAAAGCAACATGTCATCGAACACTCGCTGTTCAGGATTGTCTAGACAGCGAGGGTATTCAACGCCTCGTATGGCCATCACGTTCTCCAGATCTAAACCCCATTGAAAATGTTTGGGATGCTTTGGGGAGGCAACTTGCTGGTCGAAACTATCCTCCGACAAACAAGAACACCCTCATCCGTGCACTGACAGAGGAATGGGATAAATTGCCTCAACAGCTGCTGGATAATGTTGTGCAAAGTATGATACGACGTGTAGAATGTTGCATCACACTCCACGGTGGACATATCCCGTACTGACACCTTTCTTCAAGTTGCCTGCTGACATTTAGATGCATTGTTCCATTTTTCCGTACGCAGCATCAAACGAACATTTTTTTCCTTTCAGATGTTTCATAGCTTTTGTACTTTCCAGAACAATGAATATTCTTTATTCTAATGTCTGAACAGTATGGCAACTATATTTTATCCTACTAGGCCTCATGTCTCACTTAATGTTATGTTACATTGCAATTTGTGATCCGTCCTTAGCAACTGTCCAGCAGTGTATATATTTATAAATAAATGCTTCATACTATTCATAAATAAATGCTTCATATTATTAATAAATAAATGTTTATTTATAAATAATATGAAGTGCCCTTTCACAAAAAAGTGGCGCTGGACCAAAATTATTGAAATAGATGATAATTTTTAAAAATTTCGAATATCAAATTGAACATTATTTTATCTTATATAATATTAGAAGACATGATTCGTGAATCTCGCACGTCAGTATCGCATTTCACCTTTCTATTGTTAAATAACATCGTTTTGTTACCTGGGCACAGTCGTTGCTTTGTGACCTATTTCAAAAAAATTATCGTGTGCCTGATGGCTCAGGGGATAGAGCAATCGCCATCCAAGGAATTGAATCTAGTTCGAATTCCAGTGAGGGCTGGTCGATGCGAATTTCGCAACCTATTCGCACCGACTACGGTTCAAACGTAAAATATTCTCAGTAATAGACGTATCACGGACTAGAGTCCCCTTGCCGTCAGGCTGACCATGGTAGGACTTCGTTGTTTTTTTCACCGTGTAATGAAAAAACTGGTTAATTCCATCAAAAAGTCCTCCACCAAGACGAACTTCTCCAATTACTTAATCTAGGATTTGTGGCTTGTGCCAAGCAGTATACAGCATTGGCGCCAACAAGCTAGAAAAGCGTTTGTGATCATTTTATTCGAACGTAGGTCAAATGGACACAACTCAAAATGCGTGTTCAAGAAAATGGACACCGCTCAAAATGTTTGTGTAAGAAAATGGACGGAGCTTGAAATGAGTGTTTAAGAGAAATTACAAAAAAGCCATTTTTTAATTTTTTACCTTTCACCTATTTTTTAAAATTTTTTAATCTTTTTTTTTAATCTGCGTGCTTACTTTTCCTTACTTATTTAAACACTATAACCATATTCATAATCATTATATGGTAAAGTTACGGACTTCATAGTTTGGATGGCTGTGATTATTACTGTTGTGACTTTTTCGGCGATTTTTTTTGGATTCGGAACACTAAACGATAAAACGTATTTTAAAAATTTAAATTCTTAAAACAGAAATTTTAACGCCAATGTCAGCCAAATCAATATTGGATCCGTAACAACCTTGACAAACAATTGTTGACATCGAAAGATTTTGAACAAAATGTATTAGGTGATTTTGGAAAACGGATGGTATCAAATAGCGAATTTATTTGTATTCACTAGCATATTCTTTAGAAGAAAAAAAACTATATTCATAAGAGAAGTTTGCAAAATAGAATCTTATGCTATTTTCTTAAATACACTCTTTATCTATGTCCATTTACATAAACACGCATTTTTAGCTGTGTCTATTTTCTTAAACACGCTATTTGAGCTGCTTTCAGTATTAAAAGTTCATCGCCACAAATATTTTCCTTACTTTTTAAAACCGATCGGTGAATATGTAAGAACATTAACACGTTGAATGCCAAACTAATTTTACATGGCTTGCCCGTCTGCGCCAAAATGATTTTCTCAGTATGTATTGCATTAATTTATTTTCAAACCAGTTTAGTAACGATAATAATCTAAAAAAATTTAAAAGCATTAAAAATTTACTCAAATTATGTGTTTTATAACCGTCGTTGAACAGCCGACCCAATTTTATGGGTTTACGATTACTAATGTTCAACTCTGTAGTCTTGTGATTTTGAACCCAATCCAGAAGACAAGGAAACTCCTGGATCGAGTATTGGGAGAAATTGTGTCCTCGGGAAGGACTTTTTGATGGAGCTAACCAGCATTTACTTTACATGGAGGTGAAGACCACGATAACCTCCCATGGTTAGTCTGACTGCAAGGGGATTCTCACCCATGATTTGGTTACCACTGAGGATATTTCCCGTCAGCACTGTGATCGGTGCAAGCCGGTTGCTGAATTCGTATCGACTGGGATTTGAACCCGGTTCGCCTCATTGGAAGGCAAACCCCCTATCCACTGAGCCATCGAGGCTCCGAATTATGTGTTTCCAATAATCTTGGCTTCGCGGGTCACCGGTAACTTTCGTGGCACTACGAGCAAACTCAGTGCCGGTCAACGATGACCCCCATGGCATTCAACGTGTTAAAAGAAAGTTTTCAAATAGTATTAGCAGACATTAGAAAACAATAAAAAAAATTAGGTATTATGTTCGATTATTTCCTTTCCCTTGATTGAGGTCTTTTGCATACTATTTTTAAAAAAAATATTTATTAATATTTTTGTGTAAAAGGTTTGTATTTGCATTGTTTCGTTTCTTTAAAAAAGGCTTTCCGCCTTGTATTTCTCTTCACCTCAATCTCGACAACTATAATAAAAAGGTTTACCCCTCGCTTTTTTTATCTAACCCAGGTAGCAAAATGGTGCTATCTGACATTAGACAGATGCAATATAATACTGCCGTGCTAGAAAACGCTATGAAACAGAATTCTATCTTCTAATATTGTTTATATTTTATAAGATCAAACAGCGTTCAATCTAACATTCGAACATTTGAAATTATCCTTAATTTTATTATTTTTGGTCCAGTGGCACTTTTTTTGTGAAGGGCTATCCTATATTATTTTTAAATAAACATTTATTTATGAAAGAAAACAATAAATTAAATATCACTTAAAATATCATTTTCAGCCAATGCAATTTTATGCCAGAAAACGCAACACAATATTAGTTGTAATAAATTCTGTTCGCGAACGAACTTTATCAACTGTTGAGTTGTAACTCTTAATGATTGTTTACATCGAAGAATTGTTTGTGTTCGTCCGCAGGGACTGATCAAGAGATTCAGGCCCAAGGCCCAAAAGATTTTCCGGGCCCCCTTACAAAATATTTTGAAATTAAATTACTGAAGAGAATGCTCCATTGAACTGCATGATTCGAGAGAAACAAACTAAGGAAGTTTGAAAGCAGACAATTGAAGATTATTTTTCTAAGAGGAAGTTTACGTATCTATAAATTAAGGCAAAATATGAAAAAACAAAACAATGTTATGTTAAAATAAAAACAGTTGGGTGACCACAAACAATTGAAATCAGTGATTTTTGCTAAGTCTCTGATTGGCTAAATTATTTTTTATTGTAAGCTGTAATTATTTATTGTTTAGTACTTAAACCAACACAAAGCTAGCCCACCTTTCATTAGACTTATTACAAGTTCCTGAGGCCCCTCAGAAATTGTCGGCCCTAAGCCCGTGCCTATTGAATCCAGGCAATAATCAGGCCCTGGTCGTCCTTCAACTACTAAAGGTTATTTATAATTTAGTAATTTTCAGTTAACTTTATAAATTTCAAT